AAGCTATTACAAAGAATAGAATTTCCACACTGCCGTTGCCGTTATTCAACCCAGGATCAATGAGCTTCACATTCCGTCCTTGAACAAGTTGAGCTACCTATGTGCACACACCATTTTCTTTTTCTTTACACTATGTTTGGTTCAAGAAATTTAGAAGGAAAAGACAAAAAATACTCCATCCGTCCCTAAATATTCACAACATTTCCTTTTTCAGCAGTCGCGGGAACTTTTGTTTATTTTGACGTTTTCATTGGTTATTTGATAAAATAAAATATTCTTGACACCTCTTATTTCGAAGAACTTTTCATATACTCCATAGTTTTTTTATATATAAAGTTTATTTTTTATTTTTATACCAATATATAAATAAAATGAATTGAAAAAACATGATATTTTGCATCGTGAATACAAATGTGGCAAATAATTTGGGACGGAGAGAGAGTAGATTTCTCTTATTACCCCTAACCAAAAGTAGAAATTTGGTTTTTCCTCCTCTTAATAATTTTTGTCTTCTCATTTTTTTTGGATCTCTTTTTCTTTTCTTTTTTTCTCTAACCAAACAATAAAATTGTTTTCCTATATCATTTTCTTTTCTTTTTTTTTTCTCATAATGCCAATATCACCGGCCTCCCAGCCCCCACGTACCCACGCATCACGGGGATCATCTCGCAAATCGCCGATCGAGGCACTGCACATACAAGAAACTGCAGCTCCAGACCCAATGTCGTAGGAGGATAGTTCATGATTAGCTCTAAATCCTCTAATCGTATAAGTCAAGTCAAATTCTTAGTTATCCGTGGAATATAATAAAGCACTTAGTTATCCGTTGAATAAAGCGAGGGCTACTACTCCCTCCGTCCCGAAGTATTAGTCTATTTTTTACTTTTTGAACTGTTCATCTAAGCGCTTTAACTCATCAAATTCTCTCAATTTGTAAATCTAAATATAGTTATGTGTGATCTTGTTTGATTTTTCTTAACATATAGATTATTAATATATAATTTCTATAATTTTTTAATATACAAATAAGAAAACCCCCTAAATAGGAGTAAAACATGGATCATGTCTTTAAAATAGGAGTTCAAACTTAAACTCCTCTAAATAGGAGTTATTAATTAAATATATGTTTTGATTAGTCTTGGCCGCACAAACAACTCTCTTTGCGATCAAGAATCTATGGCGATCAAGAATCCATTCAATGTTACCTCTCCTTGCGATCAAGAATCATGGCGATCAACAACTAAGTTGGTCTTAATTCTTTCAACCACATGGATAAATTTGAAATCAATTTTATGTTCAATTTAAAATAAGAGGTGACATTCCTTTTTAATTGTGAATTTAATTCTTAAGTAATTTTTTTTTGTAAAATCCGTATTGAAATTGAATGATTATGGTGTTGGCAAATAGTACAATTTCTTGACATTTATTCCTTTTGGACATTATGCATTGACATATCTTTCATTACACATTGTCAGGAATGACATTATACAATGTCAAGGTTGACAGTATCTATTTAATTTGTTTAGCATTATGCATTCACATTATTACCTTATACATTGACATGATTGCCATTATATGATTACATGTGGCATTTAGTATGATCTTATTTTACACTCTATAAACATTTTAATGTAGCAATTTACGTTGACACTATTGAAAATGTGTGTGTGTGTATTGATATTAAAGCGCAATCCATCATATTCAATAGGAAGAACTAGTATTCTAGTCATTCACTTTGATAATTGTATTCATTAAGAAAAAAGAATCTTAATTTTGTTTTTCATTGCATTTTTATTCATTTTAAAAATAAGACAATGAAAATGGGGCATTCAAAGATTTAAAAATGGCACATTATCTCTTAGATGAAAACATAGATCAAAAGGAGAAAGGGAAGTGCGTAGGAAAATAAAGAGGAAAATTAATCTTTGCCTCTATAGAGTAGCATAAGAAAATCTATTTAAGTAAAATTAAAATATGAAAATGAGCATTATGTTTATTACAGAGTGCGTAGATATGCAGATACATCATGTCAAGATAACTACTCCTATTTAGGGGTGTTTAAGTTTCAACTCCTATTTTGGGATATGACATCTCTTTTACTCCTATTTTGGTCCATCTTCCTATACAAATTACAAGATAAAATGGATTAAAGAAGTGTATTAGATGGTGTGTAAAAATGAAAGTAGAAAAATACTCTGTAACGGAGGTAGTATATACCAATACCCCTAGTGCGTTTTGTACTTTAAACTTTACCAGAATCGTACTTGTGCAATGCACGGACAAAAAAATAACAGTGATTATCTACAAAATTTTACTACCTCCGTCCCAGAGTATTTGTTCACTTTCATTTTTACACAACATCCAATACGCTTCTTTAATCCATTTTATCTTGTAATTTTTATATTAAAAAATTATAGAAATTATATATTAATAATCTACTCCGTATATGTTAAAACAAATCAAACAAAATCACACATGTGACATGACTATATTTAAGCTTACAAATTGGAAAAATTTGATGAGTCAAAGTGCTTATATGAACAGTTTCAAAAATCAAAACTGGACGAATACTCCGGGAAGGATGGAGTATAACATCTAAACTTGTTCAAGGATCAATTTTGGGACAATTATATTCGCAAAAGATTTTAACCAATGACATTTCTACGTGACTATGAAAAAATCCTACCAAATTTGTACATATGATAGGCATGATTATTAGTTTTCATCTTGTTGATCGCATAATGTATGATTAAAGGTAATGCAATTGCGAGGGAAAGATTATAAGCTTCAAAATTTTCTTAAAAAGAAAAGAGTAAATTTTTTGAAATGCCCAAAAAAAATCTTTGTATTTTTTTATACAGAGAGTGTTTTAAAACAGTATCAAGAGTTTTATAGATTTAAAAGTGATGAAGTCAAATGTTGTCAAATGTTTTTTTAACCAAGTGAGTTATATTAGTCTAGTTAGATAATCTCGTCGAAAAATTCCTAATGACATACAACGGAGTGTCATTACAAAGAATAAATTTTTACGTATAAAAAATTACGAATAAACTTGTCAAATGTAAGAACCTCTGTTGTCTTTTTAAAAATAGAGGGACCTGAGAGTTATTTCAACAAAACTCGCGTCACCCGTGAGTAATTTTCTGGTCGGATACAAATACAATTCAAATATCCCTAAGCTTAGTCGATACGGATTCAGATATTGCATATCTGTGGCGGATATTATCCATTTATAGCCCTAAACCTTTGTAGATATTTGATAAAGAGATAAAAATTTATTTTAAAATCTAAGGATATCACAACCTTCTCAAATGTCTCGATTTGCATGAGATATCAATCTTTCCATCTTTGAGTCTTGATATCTTTGGTGAAGCACAAAAGAAGTTCTTCTTGAGGGAGTATAATATTCTTCTGTTTGGGAAAATACATTTACTTTCTATTAAAAAATTACTTTTATTTTCATTTTTTTATCCTACATATCATACTTTTCTTACTAACAATCTATCCATCACATCTTACTTTTACCCATCACATCAAGGGTATTTTTGGAAAGTACCCACCAAAATATCCCTCGCTTAATTTTCTAAAAGTCAATAAATTTTGTATGCTCCATACCAAAGTATCAGTTTATTTGAATACCAAATTAAATTCTTTTTTAATAAATATAATCCTCTACTCAACCCATTATACTTGCCCATATGTTCAAAAATATACCTTGGCCTCTAAGTCTCTAACTTAAGCAAAACAAATTCAACAAAGCATCAACTATGAAATCTATATTTTGTTTGAATGATTTGTTTTGGTCAAGTATATTCTAATTAGACGATAGTTTTTTTTACATATTCAGACGTTATTCGTATTATGCACTCTAATATTCAGTTTCACATCGCATTCTTTTTATAACCATTTGAATTTTTTATTAACAATTTTAAATATTCAGTTGAATTCGAATATCCAATTGGTTTTCGAATGTTTAATCGAATCCATGTATATCCAAAACCTAAAATCAGCCGTTGTTTTCAATTTTGGATATAGAAATGCTCCGTCGGATGCAAATACAATTCAAATATCCCTAAGCTTAGTCAATACGGATTCAGATATTGCATATCTGTGGCGGATATTATCCATTTATAGCCCTAAACCTTTGTGTATATTTGATAAAGAGATAAAAATTTAATTTAAAATCTAAGGATATCACAACCTTCTCAAATGTCTCAATTTGCGTATCAATCTTTCCATCTTTGAGTCTTGATATCTTTGGTGAAGCACCAAAGAAGTTCTTCTGGAGGGAGTATAATCTTCTTCCGCTTGGGAAAACACATTTACTTTCTATTAAAAAATTACTTTTATTTTCATTTTTTTACCCTACATATTACATCACACATTTTCTCTAATAATTTATCCATTACATCAAAGACAAAATTGAAAATCAACTACAATTTAACATTTCTTATTTTGACACTTGGTCAAAATAAATAATGTTTTCAAGAACGGAGAGAGTATTATTTATTCATGAAGTTGAAATTAGTTATGAAAACGTCCTTTATAGAATTACAAAAATAATGCCCACCTTATANACATTTTCTCTAATAATTTATCCATTACATCAAAGACAAAATTGAAAATCAACTACAATTTAACATTTCTTATTTTGACACTTGGTCAAAATAAATAATGTTTTCAAGAACGGAGAGAGTATTATTTATTCATGAAGTTGAAATTAGTTATGAAAACGTCCTTTATAGAATTACAAAAATAATGCCCACCTTATAGTACCGGCCAACCTATGGCCAGTTTGGCTCCCATTAATTACCAGGCCTTCAAGCTGTTTAAAGGGCGTACTAATTACACAATTTCGAAGGTGGGTAAGTGGGCAGAGTGAGTATACATTGATGAATGGAAAAGAAGAGAGGGCATGAAGAAAGAAAGAAAGAAAGAAAAAGAAAGAAAAAGAAAGAAAGAACGAAAGGACAAGTGCCAAAAGTGAGAGAGAAAGTTTCAAACTTTAAAACTTGTTATTTACCTACACAAAGAAAAGATCTATAGAACAATTAGTTCGTCACCATTTACAAAAGCAGAGTAAAGAAGGAAACTAACCAACCAACCAACCATCTACAAGTTAATGTGGAGCCATTTCCTTTTGCCCATACATTCCTTGTCTTCCTCATCATCACCATCATCATCAATGTTAGTGGGGACCACCCAAAGTGCTGCCGAAGCTATTCTCCTTCTCGACGACCAGCCTGAAGAGCCTGCACACCCGGTCCTTGTCGCTGCACTTGGCGACCATGTCCATGTACTGCATCGCGTCCTGGGGGACGAGCCCCTCCATGAAGAACCGGAACAGGCGCGAGTGGGTCCCGTCCATCGTGCTCAGGCACTGTTCCAAGGCTGAGACTTGCTGCAGCTTGGTCAGCTCCGCTGCCTCCAGCAACGGCAGCAACTTCCTCTCTTCCTCTTCAAAGTGTTGCTTCGAGTGCTCCTGGTTCCCAAAAAAGGGGAATCAAAATTATTGCAGTGTTTACGACAGAATCACATAACATTTACAATTTCTTGGGGTATGTATCTATCATCCCCAACATGGAATTCAGATGATTTTTATGCATAATGTTTGATTTTAAGAGTTGAGAAATTTAACAAAAAGCAACATGAACGGGTGTTTGGTAAATGGCGTATTTGTTTAGCAGTCAAGTCAAGTCTACAACGGAAAAAAGAACCGTTTGAAAATCATTCAAAATATCAATGAATTATATTTGGAATGAAAAGTGATTAATTATGATAGAGAATGCAGACAACTTCAGGAAAATCTTAAATTTGAAAAAAAAAATGGTAAAAAAGTAAAAGATAAACTAAAATGTGCCGGTACTCACTTCAACAACAACAATAACCCAGTTGTATCTCACCAACAACAACAACCCGGTACTCACTTCATACTTAAAATAAGTTTGGACGTATGATTGTGCCAATGTAATGAGATCTCGAAAACTCAAATGCACTTGTTTTTATCATTATTCCTTAAGAAACTAAATGCACACAAGTGCACAACTTGAAGAAACCTCTAACACATAAGATGGGGAGCTTGGTTGCTAGTCGTCAACTATTGAACTCAAAGTTATCTATCACAAGAAGCAGGGAGAACCAAAACTTATCTCTTCACCTTTTCTTTCCTCAACTCCTTAGTTGCTTTGCCATATTGTTCTCACTTTTATGATTTGATTGCTATGTCTTGAATTGAGCGTCTTTTGGGAACGACCCTTCTACTTTTATACTTTATAGGTAGAGCCGTAGAGGTGAGGTCTGCGTAATGTCGTACACCCACCCCTACCAAAGGGTTGTTATTGTCCATATATGTCCAAACTTAACGAAATGAGTTTCAACAAATATATTTAAAATAAAATTATTCAGTTTAGTCCATCTTTTATTCTCTCCCAAATTTTCTTGCCAGCCAATTTTCATCAACACTTTCCTACCTATCATCTTTTCGTGAGATCTAAACAAACCCTCAAGGCATAAATAAAATGGCTTTTAATCAGAGTATGTAGCACAGCAGGTACCTGTAAGGTTTTGAGACGAGTTGAGAGATTGGAGAGGCCCTCTTGGAAGACAGGGTTCCCAGAATCAAGAACTCCAATGGATTTAATATCTTCTTTGATACCATTCATCACTGGCAGATCCCTAGCATGCTCCTCATTTGCACCTTTGCACAATCCTATCGAATAATACTAACTATCAATGTTCAATACAGTTACTCTATTTTGCAACAAGACTCTCGCGCCTATGGTATGTTTAGGAAGTTGGATTTGGATTTCAAATCCAAATTTATCTAAAATGCCAAATTCGTGGAATTCAAATGCAAGAATTGAAATGAAATGTTTGTTCCCAAACACTAACCTAAATTAATTGAACCACTACTCATAGCATGTTTAGCAATAGCATCAACATTAAATTTTAGCATTTTGAAATTTTTTATCTAATGACAACGTTCAGTTTTAATGTTTTCAACCGTAATTTGCACCACCCAAAATTATCTAAAATGCCAAATTGCCAACTGAAAACATTGTTTCCAGACAAGGCAAGTTTCTTCTCAGTTCAAATATCGTTACTCATAAACTCAGCCTATCCATCTCTGGAGATAATCAACACAACAATCACTTTCCAAATACTATATTAAGAAAGCAATTCTTCAGCAATGGAATGAAGAATCTAAGAACAGTTTCTGCTCTAACACTATGCATTTACTTTCCCAATTAAGGCAAATGAAAATGATTAGATAAGAGCAATTACTGGTGTAAATTCGATTATACCTCGATCGGCTTTTTCCAAGATTGGGAAGAGGACCCTCTCCTCCATCTGAGCGTGCTCCAGAAACAGCTCCAGCAGCTGAGAATATCTCTTGGCGAACTTCCGAATCTCCATTCTCGGACTCCCCATAGCCGGATCTCCGGGCATCTTCCCCCCACGGGAAGACAGATCCTCCGCCCACCTCACCATCCGATCCAGGTGCCAAAGCATGCTCCGGTGCTGCAGGGTCGCCACCCAGACCACCAGCGGCGTCGTCTCGCCGTGCCACCCACCCACGCTCCCCTTCAGCAGCTGCGGCTCCGGGAACTTCGCATCCAAGAACTGAACCAGAGTTTCCAGCGATCCGGAGACGGTCTGCGACTTATACTCGATCGCCGGCGTCTCGTGGCGGTCGGAGGGCACGAAAATCAGCGTCACCGGCTTGTAGAGGAGCGCGAACCGGACGCAGTAGGTCTCGATCCCGAACGGCGCCCCGTAGAGCTTGACCGTCGGCTGAGTCCTGATCACGTCGGCGGGCGCAATCTCCGCCGTCGATTTCATCGAGTTGTCGAGGCAGTTCCCCATGACGGAAATACAAAATTCCGGGGAAATCGGGCACCCTTTAGCTGATAAACCTCTGTGGTGGTTTAAAGATTCTTTTCTGGACTAGGGTTTGAGTGAATCGCACGAACGAAGAGGTGCGGAAATGGAGTGAAAGGGAAGAAAAGAAGGGATGGGGGGAAAAGAGGAAGATGAAGGAAGTACAGTAGTGTTAAGAAGAAGGGGAAAGGAATAGAGAGCCTTTTTTCATGGAGAAAAAAAGAAGAAGAAGCTGTTGAGATTCTTCTGCCAAATCGAAAGGCTCCGCTGGGCCGGACGGTCGACGGTGGAGCCACCTGAGAGCTGTTTAGGTCTCCTTTGGAACCAATAATTTTTTAATGATATAAAAATGATAAATTTGAAACGGTAAAAAAGACATAGAAAATCATTTGTTTTACAAAATGCCAAGAATAATTTTTTTTTTTATTTTAGAATTTAGATATACCTATATGTGAGATGGTAAAAGATATAGGGCATGTTTGGTTTTTGGCATTTGGAATGGCTTTACTGTTTTGACCCATTTTAGCAGATTTGACTGGTCAAACCACCAAAAAAGGTGTTTGGTAGTTGGGGTTGGCTGTTTGAGTCCAAAAAGCCAAAATTTAAAAAGCTACAGGGAGTAGCATTTCGGTTAAGCGGTAAAATAAATTTTTTATGAATAATTTTTTTTATTATTTGTAAAATAAATTTTTTTATTATTTTTTATTATTTGTAATTTTTATCAGCCAACTGCTAAATTCCAAACAGGGTCATACTCCGTACTAAAGATAGAACAAAATATACTAAAGGCAAAGAATAAAAAATACTTTGATTTTAGTAAAAAATAATGAAAAAATTATTTTAGATAAACCTATATGTGAGATTGGTAAGTAAAAAATGAAAAGCTAAAATTCGTTTGAAAATGATAAAAGAATTTTGAATCACGCTAGAAGCTATGAAGGTTTTAAGGTATATACATCATTTTAGATAGACCTATATATGAGATGGGTAAGTAATACCGAGTATTTGCTTTGGTAAGCATTTTCTTTATAAAATAAAAAAATTCCAAAAAAAAATGCATCTTTTGTGAAAAGGTCTATCAAAAAGCATTCATCAAATTTTCTTTGTTTTATTTAAAAAAGGAAAATAAAGAAGTATAAATATTTTGAGATGATTTATAAATTTACGGGGAACAATTTTTATTTCCTCCGTTATGTTCTCATTTACTTTTTTACAGAATTTAAAATAAAATTATATAGATTTATGCAAAAAAAAATATCAACCTCATTTTAAATTAAAACGTTATGATTTAAGGATGGCAATTTAAAAAAAGTGAGATAGCCGACGTGGTAAACATGTTTGATCAAAATTCAAAATAGTGCATACTAATTGTGGGCAACTAGTCGTTAGTTTTGTGGGTCTCTTGACTTAGCCCGATGCAAATTGCAAAAAACGAGTTAAATACGGAGTAGGCTCTAAGTGCATTAGTCAAAGTGTTTTTTATAAGAATGGACAAGAATCCCGATTCCGTTCTCCTGCCTCAACTTGTGAGAATCAAGTGCGTCGGAAGAGAAACGCGTGCAGGTGCCGACAACCTCCATCAAGATATTTCCATTTGTGCCGATAATGTGTGAGGCGGGGGAAGCATTGCCTGAGTTGCCTCCCAAAGAGCCTCGTTTCCTACACCCAAAGCTCGTAAACCATAGCCACCAAAGCTTGCAAACTTGCCCCACCAATCTCCCTAAGTTGTCTCCAATCACCGCGTAAAATCTATACCATAATTATCTTCTTACTTTCTTATTTGGGATCTCCCAAAATTTTCTTCTTATTTTTTTTAAAGAAATAAGTATGTGATTCAAATCATTTCTATTTCATCTACACAAATCACAATCGCACACCTTTTACTTTATAAAAAAAACTGTTCCAAGTCAAACAAGGAAAAAACGATGAGAGGGAAGGAGCATATCTTAGAAATTACACGTGAGAAAGTAAGTCAACATTCACACAAGAGATACACTAAACAATGACTTCTTTATTTCAAAAACAGTACATGAAACCTCACATCTAAGGCTTGGAAACCCAACAGTAATTTTTGGTCTGGATACTTAGTTACTTCTTCTTAAACAAGAAGAGCGCAACCATCCACTCTTCTCCATCGTTGTAGCCAAAGAGTTCTGCAACCGCGATAAAGAACGTCCGCCAGTAAACCGTCCACTTGAGAGCTTGATCTTTTCCGTAAGTCGACTCCATTATTGGCTTTATATCGGCCAAGTTCTGGTCCATTCTTCTAAGCCACTCCTCGCTACGTAAAGAATTTCAAAACGCATACCCCATCAAAATGTGCAAGAAATACTTGACAATTCCATATCTTAAGTTATTCCTACCTGGTTTGTGCATAATGTTTGCCATTCACAAGCCAGTGATTGACTACAGATACATCATCCTGCACATATAGCATAAGATAATATATTAGAAAATATCGTATATTAGTATGGTTTCAAATATATGGCAGGATTATAATTATGTAGTATCGAGTCAATTGCCAATGAAGCCAAAAGAGTCATTATTGCCAACGTTTTTAGTTTCGAGCACATAATGGACTAGATCAAAATGGAACATTTAACTTCTCTTGCTACTGTCTGTTAAGTTTGGGGTACTAACACAAACAACCTCTTTGTTTTTACAGGAGTAAGAATGTGTACATCTTGACCCCTCAAACTCCAACAGGATTGGGATTATAGTAGGTTGTTGTTGTTGGGAAACAGCCGCTCTATGTTTTAAACATAGGGGTCNCCAACCCCCCCCCCCCCCCGAAATGGGCGGGAGTCATTGAGGCACTAGGGTAATGTTGTTGTTGTTGTTGGGCAACACAGCTAATGCAATGAATTTAAGTAATTAGTGCTTGAGGATATAAAACTCACTTGAAAATAGAGTAGCAGGTTAGCAGCAGGCATTGTGCCACCTTCAAAGAAATACCTAGTAATCCAGTCATCTTCGCTAACGTCCTGAACGGGAAATTAAACAATAAACATTTTTATACATGCCATATACAGTAGCCTAATGTTAGCAATCTCTTTGTAAACACACTAAAAGGATATGTAGCTGTGTAAGAAACTAAGAATAGCCAATTAACTTAGATATACCTCAAAATGATACGCAAACGTCTTATGGCAGAAATGGTGAACAAAAAGAAGGCCGTCCTCGTTCATCCACTTGGATATCTTTTTGAGAAGATCCTTATAGTTCTTCATATGCTGCCAAGAGAAAGACCCAAAAGATCAGGTCAGGTCAGCTTTAATTGTGGCAAAAAGAAAAAGAGTTCTGACCTCAAACATTTCTATGGAGAATATGCGGTCGTATGTCCCTTCCATCTCAAATGGACTGATATCGGCAACAATAATTTCCACATTGCGCAGCTGAAGAGTCCTACATAAAGAAGGAAACGAAACATTTTACTAGCTTCCAACCGATCCTCGGATGTCAATAGAACAGCCAATTGTGTGCATTGGCTGGATTTATCAAAAACACATACTGGCACTGCTCTTGAATAAATGCTTTCTGGGTTGTTGAATTGCAGATCCCGGTAACCTTGCAGTTGTTGAATTTCTGAGCTATGTACAAAGATAGAGATCCCCAGCCACATCCTATGTCAAGAACAGAGTGGCCGTCTTTTAACTGTGACCTCTCACAATACAACTCCAGCATTGCTTTCTCAGCATCCTCTAACGTGCTTGATTTATCAGCAAAAAAGCAACAGCTGCAGAATTTCATGCACTGATCACTATCATGTCTATCAACTCGAGCAAACGTATACCCAAAATCCTGTTTTTTTAACGTCACCGACTTATTTCTCCCCAAGAAAAATTACCAATTCGTGGTTCACAAGCATAATGCATGAAGAAAAAGAAGCAAGTTTAATACATCTACTAACACAGTCATCAGATACATAAAACAATCATCATATTTAACTTATAAAATAACCCAGACTTTGCTAATGCGAGGGATCGAATCAGTTAAAATTCCATCAGCTTATCAACTACCTGTACTTAAAATGTTTGCCAAGAACTAATTTAAAGAAAGATGTCGGAATCTCATAGTGTTGAGTCTTCGGCTTGTCCGTCTTTATAGCAACGGGCATCTCCTTTAAAGCTGGAAGAACATGAAAAAAATTAGGAACAAAGATTCATGTTATTCAAGTTCTACTACATAAACCTTTTTTCGTATTTTCTAATCAATCCCCTAAACCTAATGAAATCGATTATAAGCATTTTCACTTGCACTATTATACTGAGTATGAAGCATTGATGCTACTTCTTGAAATGACTCTCTCTACATGTTCTCTTAGACCTCAACTCAAACAATAGATCTAAGCAAAATTCCACCTGAAAAAGTGGTTACTTCTCTTTAATCCTTTCTCCATTCCTGAACACAACTTCAATTTTTTCTTCTCAAGTCAAATCTTCACAGCCCTAAAATTCTTCCATTGTTATTTGCTACTGAAAAAGTTTTCCTACTTTCTTAGTTAGAATTTCTCTAAATGAATCCAAAATTAACATTCACAAACTACAAATTAAGTGTGAAAGAGTGCAAGATTAAGAAAGAGAACTTAAATCGGAGCTCACACTGAACGAAATCGAGAAGATCGGAAAGCTGTAGGTCGGAGGAAGGTCTGTAGCCGGAACGGAGACGGAGAGCCAACAAGAGGCGGGTGAGCCGCCGGAGAACGGCGTCGGGCAAGAGATTCCGTTCAAGTGAAGCTAACATAACTTTGACAGTGGCATCGTATGGTACCTTTATCAAACCTTCCATAGCTCAAAAAAGGATAAGGTTTCAGTTGTTTGTTTGAGCAGAGAAATTCTACCAATTTGGGACGGTACAGTTACAAAACAATTAATCTTCTCCGGCCGGCCAAGCCATGAAAAAAAATAAATGGAGATGCGGGGGATCGAGCCCCGTGCCTCTCGCATGCAAAGCGAGCGCTCTACCATCTGAGCTACATCCCCTTCGATGTTATGGCCTTTCTTTTAAACATCATGGCTTTGTATAAACAGTAGCTACTAGGGAAAACAGAAAAAATATCGGAGCCAAGTTTCGATCCTGGGACCTTTGGGTTATGGGCCCACCACGCTTCCGCCGCGCCACTCCGATTCAGCTGTAACCTGGGAGTAATGTTAGTTACAACTCTTAAATACGAATGTTTCCAGTCAAAGACTTCCTCTCCTATCCACTTTCTGTTTTTCAAAAACTGTTATTTCAATTCAGGTTGATCTTTCAATAAATTTTATTTTATCCTTTCTATTACCTATTCACTTT